AAACAGAATTAATAACACCTACTTCAAGGACTGTTGCATGACTAAATAAGATAGCACATATGAATGCATCCTATTACTTATAACAATATAAAATATTAACTATGATTATACTGAATTCCCATTTTTGCCTTTTCTTTGGGAACAAAAATAACTTGAAAGTATATAAAATTGTTGTTGGTTGCAGCTAATTAGAAATGAGAGACGCTGCATCTCTTTTTACTACCCTGGTTCTAATATAGCTTTGCTTGTCACGTGACTGTCTTCAACTCAGTTACTCTGCTGAGAATGCAAAATCGCCAAGCGGGTGAGCAGCGGCGAGGTAATGTTTCCAGAGGAAGGCATTAAATTAAATTATTAAACACACACAAGTAGGAGTAGTAATGTAAGAATTCTGAAAGACTCACAAGGAAAGGCAGTAGAGCCAAGGGACTATTTCTGGTGTTCTGACTCTAGAAAACTCCAAGCGGCTATTATGACTATTTATTAACCTGCAACATCATAAACCGTAACCCTATTAAATATGATGAATGACTCCTAGGTTACGATTTTTAAATACCAATTCACAGGGATTTTAGAAGGCCAAACGGGCATCACGGAATGCGAAGTCTTTGGGCAAATGGCGATTATGTGATTAGATGCAATTATAGCAACTAAAGATGAAATGATGATGGCAAAAGGAATTTAGAATAAAGAAAACACATTTACTTACTTAAATTCTGCCCCATCAATCTGAACTATACTTACTGTTATCATAGGGGCAGCCTGGAATCACTGTTGAGGCCAAGTGTTTCCAGAGGCTGGCACCACCTTTTGCTGTGCCCTTGGCACTCATTCCTCCATGAATTTAGAAAAAGGTGGTCTCTGGGCAGACAAATGAGGAAGACCTCTCCCTCACATGAGGAAAACCTCCCTGATGAGAATTTTAAGAAGGCATCTATTGCTCCAAGCTGCAGCCCTTCCCTGCTCAGAGAATCGGGAGTGATCTTGTCAAGGAACTCTGGGGGTCTCTGTCCTCTTAAGTGATTTTGAGGTATGCCCTCTTTAAAAAAAATGGGACTTTCTGTTCTTATCTACTTGTTATAATTGTACTTCAGTTCATCTATCCTTGAGCTTAAAAAAAATACAATCAGAACCATTTATGGAAAAAGAAGAAAAAAATAGCAGCTCTTTCTACTTCTCAGTAAACATACTTGTGTTTGCCCTCCTGATGAGACAGGGAAGTCCCAGGAACCTGCTGCAGGGCTGCTGAAGGGCACTCGCCTGCACATGTGGGCTGTGAGGAAGCCAGACCGGGATGCACGGGGCTGGCCCTTCTCCCCGGCTCTCCGGGGCCTTTCCTAGGCCCAGACTGCCCCTGGCTGTCCCTTTCAAGTCCTCTACACTTAAGTCTATCACCACTTAACACTGCTCCATTTATCACTTGGTTTTTTATCACAGGCAAATAAAAAGAAAAGGCATTACTTTGTGCTTTTCAATAGCTTGCTAATCTGTCACACTGTGTCTTCAGTTTGAGTATAGCCCTGTGTCTGCAGAGCAAAACTATGAGAAACCCTCAGTAAGAGAATCTTAAACACTATGATCCCTGCCCTCCCTCTTATCAGGAAAGGATATATTTTGACTTAAGCATGAAAAGAGAAAAAGAAAGAGTTAAGAAAAAGGGTTTATCTGGAGATCAATGAGGATAAATGATGAAAAGAAGCCACTTTGAGGCACATCAGCCTGGCGAGTATCTCTTTAAAAAAAAGCAGCTAAAAATGCTTTCAACCTCGCAATACCATAAATGTCCTGCTGCTGTCTTGGCTTCCACATTCTTCCCCGTACTTTCCATGAGCATTCCACTGGGAACTGTCTGGAATCCCAGATTAAAACAGCAATAACCCAACTCCCTTGTTAGAATATTTATTTTCTTTTAGGTTTGGAAACTCAGCTGGGACGCATCTTTAAGTATACAGCCCAGCTCAACCATCCTAGGGGCTACATGAGATGTTTCTCAAACAGCTCAATGGGCAGCTGAGTCCTGGAACGGGACAGGGAGGAGGGCATTTCAGCCTCGTGTGGAAAGCCCCAGCTTCAGACAAATAACAAAAGCCTGGGAACCTCCACTTTCAGAGGATTCGTTCCAGATGTCAGAACTAATGGTGTCACAACGGGGCTCATGCAGATTACCAAGGAGGTTCCTGAAGTCAGACTGCCAGAGAGCATGCATTTAGGCAAAATCATCACCCTGACCTGAATCCATAATCTAACAACTAAATCTAGCCTAAGGTTGGCAGCAATATGATACAGTCCTATATCTCATAATTATCTATATGGGGGATCCATCCATCCATCCATCCACCCACCCACCTAATGCAGCAAACCACTCAATAACTGACTGACCATGGTTAATCAGAATACTGAATCACTTAGAACAGATTGTTAGATTCTGTGGTCTAACATCTGATCCTAAGAACAGATTTTAGCCATAAACCAATGCTATGGCCATATCAGTGAATAATGACTGTCAACCCTGAATTCATCCATCCAACCATCTAAAAAAATATTTATTAAACACACATTGTGGCATAGTAGATAAGAATATAAGCTTTGGAGTCAGACAGAATTGAGTTTCAATCCTGACTTTATCTCTTACCACCTTTGGCAAGTTGTTTAAATTCTCTAAGCCCTAAATTCCTTATGTGTGACATGGATATAAAAAGAATATCAACCTTACAAGTACTGCTGTGAGAATTAAACAAAATAATTTACATAAAGGACTTCACGCAGTGCCCGGTACAAGGTAATCCCACAATAAATACTGGCTCAATGATCATGTGCTGGGCACACAGTAGGGCCTGGCAAAACAGCGGTAAGCTGTGGCTCACTGAGAAAACTGTCTAATCCTGAAAAAATTGAAGTCTTGGTATGGGAAAAACAGTTCACGTAGGGAGAATGAGTCCTTAGGTGAGAATCATAATATTTGGAAGAGAGCTGTTTAACGTTCTCTTGCCCAGTCACAATGTCATATGGTAGGAAAACTGAGTGTTAGAACGGCTGACTCACAGTCAAACAGCTGTTTTAACGGCAGAACTAGTTAAGAATTAAGATCTCTAGTCTGCCAGTTTGCTTGGCGTGTGTCTGGTTTGTTTTACCATGATAACTTCCTATAGAGAGGCAGCTCTATTGTCAAAGAGCTGACGTTTGCAAAGGAATTGAGAAGCAGCCCAGAAATTAGGGCCTCCTTCGAGGGGTGTACAGGAATAAGAAGCTACAAAAGAAACAGCAGCCCCCCTGGGACAAGCCTTCCTAATTCTTTGCTCTCTGCACCTGGCGAGGTATTTGGTCTGCTTTATTCTTTTCTGTATCCCCAGCATCCAGCAGAGTCCCTGGGACAGCGCAGGTCATCAATAACTATTTGTTGAATGAAGACATGAATGAGATTAGGTAGCAGGAGTGTTCTGAATGCGTGGCAGGAGGGTGTTCCACCCTGAAGTGAATATACCAGTCATGAGGCAGCTTTTAGAGGAAAAGATGCTATTACCTGGCTGTGGCTTCTCTTGCAATCCTGCCTGCTGCCATGGTGCCAAAACGCTCCAGTTTACTAAGGACAACAGTGCCTACAGCCATGACCTTGGCACCTTTACGGTCCCGATCTCATCTTTAAAAGTTCACTGTGGAGAATGTGGTAGAGTGGAGCTATGCCCTTCACCTCCTTGCCTAAGTGAAGCTGGAATGTGCTGACCCTAACATGTAGCAACTGTGTAAATAGTGATGGACACAGCAAGCTGGAAGAGGGGGAGAATCCTCATGGTCCCCAACTCCTTGCCAAAAGCCCAGCACCCATCCTGACTGTGGGGGAGAAGGGGTTACCAGCAATGTTCCCCCAGCATCAGTCATCTGATTCCCTGAATTATCACAGAAAGAGAAAAGAGAAGCCTGTGTCCTCTGTCCCCTACTGTTCTCCATTTTCAGCAAGCAACCTTCTGGCTCCTGAGGATGGAGGGAACAAGAGAATAACCTGGGGAGCATTGCCATGCCAGGAAGAGATGGCAAGCACAACCGTGCCACTATTTAAGTTATTAGGAATTAACTAGGGAAGGGCCAAGGTGACCCCCAGTGTCCTCTATAACCTGGACTTGTGCCCTCAGGATAATATTCAAGCCAGAGAACCTGGCATTTTCTTGGACACCAGGATGAGGGTGGGAATCAGGTGATTCATTCTCCCCAGCTGCCCCCATCACATTGTATCTGGGCTGGGTGGTGGCACAGGAAAGACAAAAAAGGAAATGACAGGTTTCGGCTGTTTGGAGCCTGGCCCCAGCAGCACAAGTGTGTTGGCCTCGATGCCCTGCCAAGTTGCGGCTGAAGAATCAGACAGGGGAGGTGGCAGAGGCGAGGGGTAGAGATGATTTGGGAGACAAAGGTGGAAATACCACAAGCCAATTAAACGGCTATGGAGGTAAAGCAGGCACAAGTGAAGGAAGAGCGGGGTGTAGATGAAAGGAGAGAAAGGCCATACCCAGGCATGTAAAATTTAGGAAAGGAAAGCAGCCAGCATGGAGGAGGCAGGAGGGGAGAGGCCCTGGAAAGCCAGGAAGAGCACACAGCTTATAAAGCAAAGCAGGGAGTGAGTCGGACTCAGAAGCTGAGCAAAACATAAGGCCTAAGAAAACAGTAAAGGGGAGTTAGTGTGACTTAGAAAGACAGACAAACTGTCCCCCAAAATTCACCTTGCTTCTTAGGAGATTTAGTTGACTCTGCCATATATATTCCCCATCCCAGATTTTGAGCTAATATGTCATAGAACTGAAATGAATACTCAGAGAAAGAAGGGACAGGAATGTCAAGGTTTGCAAAGCCTTCCTGGGGAGGGGGTGAAGTCATGTGAGAACACTCTCAGAGCTCTCCCCTCTCCAGCTGGAAGCCCTGCCCCGCAGCCCCGCGCAGGCCATCATTCTGACCCTGGGCCCCCTGGCCCTGCGGCCCTCTGGCCCTGCCCCGGCGGGCGCGCAGACACTCACGCAGGTGCGCCGGCAGGCGGATCGAATCTTCCTCCATCCTGAGCGCTCGGGGCACTGGAACATGAAGCGGAGTCGAGGAGGCGTAACTCGGCACGGGGCTCTCGGGAGGTGTATATGAAATTCGCTCCTGCTGTTAAAAACAAGGGCAGGAAGAGGGGAGGGGGAAAAGACAATGAACATTTGGAACTAGGTGTGAAATCAGGGAGGGGGTGGGAGCAAAAGG